TTTTCTTTTTTTTAATCTTAAGATCTACATGGAACTATAAACTCATCTAAATAGGACTCTAACCCCTACTTCATAGTATCCCAAGACCAAGTCTTCTTTCTGAGAAGAGTCTAGAGAGTTTAGGCCAGAGATTGGCTGGTTGAGTTGAATACGAATAGGATGGGAAGGAGCTCCTTTTTCTGCCTCTCTGTCTCCCCTCTGTCCTTTTCTCCTTTTCTCCTCCTCTTCTATAAAATGAACATAACAAAACTTATACCATCTCCCTGGGTGAGATTTAAACAAAGGCTGTACGATCTCCTTGGGGGCATCCTCTAAAAGGGATCACTTTTCAGATATGGGTTGGACTAGATGGCCTCAGAGCCATCTTCTCAATGAAGGTCAATAGAAGTGATTTGTCCATTACAAAGCTGTCTATAAATTTGAGCTACCGTGATGATCTTAGAATTGTGGTTTGCATGAGCCTGGTTTCTCAAAGGCTATGCAAGTGGAACACAAGTTCTGGCTGGTCCTACCAAGCAAGAAAGGCCTCCAGTTCAGGCCTAGTCATAAACTCACTGTCTTTTGTCCAAGGAACACCCTTACCCTTGCCCGGTTTAGAGATACTAGAAAGTTGGCCCCCAGGTGACAAATGTTATTTATGCTTACAAAGATTGTGTAACATCTGTTGTATTGGTAGAAGGCCTATTCACACTGAAGAAATCACATATTCTTGAAGCATTATTGTTTTTTGTTATTGATAGAACATGCAAGTTCATCTTCATTCCAAGGACCTGAGACTTCACTCATGTGGGTACCCTATCCACCAATGAGGATGATAACCCATCCATGCCTTAGTGAATAGCCATCATGATTTGCTATGGTAGGAAAAATCAGCTTTGCATAGTAGCCAACAATTTGGTGATAAGCTTCTCCAAATTTCACTAGGAAAGTCTTCAAAGCACATATTCTGTCACTGAGCTCATAATGGCATAACCTTGGAGAACAACCCAGGGGAAACTCCATCCTACAGTGAAGTATAGGAATTTAGTAGAGGTATTTTAGAATGTTTCTGTAAAATAGAATTACAGGATTATGGATTTAGAGTTAGAAGGCACATTAGACGTCATCTTCTTTTTATTTAACTTCTTGGGTTTCAGTTCTATAAAATGAGAAGATTGGACTACAAGCCTTCTAAGGTTGCTTCTAACTAGACCTGTGATCTCAGGCTTACTGGCTTGTTTTAAAGAAGGTGAAATTAAATGTTTAGACTTGGAATTTTAAAAGAAAATATGAGAATATGCTATATAACCCCAGGACATAGTACAGCCCCAGGATTTTTCAGTTGTCACTAATTTAGTGACTTATGGGTATTCGAACAAGCAGAGTCAGTGTTCTGGTAATTGCAACAATTCTGAAACATAATTGTATGTCATTTTCTTTAGTTAATGGCGTTGTGAAGAGAGAGGAATGGAAACACTGTCCTCCTTGTTCTTTTACAAATGCAGCCCTTCTAGTCACCTAAAGTAAAGGATGAACATCACCATCTTCAAACTTGAGAGATTAAAAAAGACCCTGAATGTGCCAATCACTTTTAAATGACTTGTAATTACTCAATTATTTCCCACTTCTGGTATTCTCTCTAGTGAAAATATTAAAAGTGGTTAAAAAAACAAAAGAAAACTTTGTCTTGATTTTGATTCTCCAAGTGTCTAAGAAGATACTAGAGATTATTGACTTACCATTTCTAATTATACTTAGAAAAGGGACCAAAATGGTGGAAGAAGTAAAAATAGAGAAAAGCAAATTATTTTAGACAAGACAGAAGCATTGCATAAAGATTTGCTTTGGGAAAATGTGGGGGGAAAATGGATTCAAAGCAATTGTTTTCTTAGGTCATTGTGATATTATGTCTTTAATATATGCATAGCTAAATATAAAGGTAATCCATATTTGATGAAATAATCAGCTAATGGATCATTTCCTAAGAATACTGACTTAAATTTTTTTTATTTAACCACTGATTATGCTTAAATTCTCATGGATAACTTTCTAAACATTTTAAAAAATATAGTAAAAAATGGCCATGTCGTGTCTCTGGATTTATCACAGTTGAAAACAAAACAATAGTCCCTTCCCCCAAAAAAAGAAAAACCCAAGAAAACAAATCTACCCATCATGGGCTATATGCAGATATACTTTCTGCTTGTTAATGTTGTATTGTTTTATTAAATATGAGAGGCAACATGACATAGTAGATAGCTGGCCTCAAAGTCAATAAAATGTGGGCTTTTCGCCTCTGAAACATAATGGCTGTTCAGTTCTAACCAATTCACTTAATTTCTCAGTGTTCTGGTACCTCTCAAAAATTCCAAGTTTCAGAGAAGGTACCAACCTTTGTGAGTAGAGAGAATTTCCTTATCTAGAAGTTTATATAACAAAGGAATTACAGGCCCAGTCTCTATCCTTAGCCCCTATACTACAGCTGGGTGGCCCAGTGGACAGAACACTGGACCTGGAATCAGGAAAACCTGAGTCCCAGTGTGGCCTTAGACACACACGAGCTTTGTGACCCTGGACAAGTCACTTAATTTTTTTCTGCCTCAATTTCTTCAATTGTAAAGTGGAAATAATAATACCCCTCAGGGTTGTCATTTGTAAAGTGCTTTACAAACCTAAAAGTGCTATATAAGTGCTAGCTATTATTTTTTTATCACTAGATATTTGGTACAGACCAAAGCTTTTATATTCTAGTTTTCTTTTATAAACAAAGAAGACTATTCAAACTAGGGAATAACTATGCTGTTAATTGATAAAGATTATGTCCTTGGGGCATATCACATGAATCATATCAATTTTTCTATCAAAAAAAATTTTTTTTGAGACAGTGTCCAGGTTCAAATCCTAGAAAGTTTAGCTACTTACTATTTGTGTTATAAATCACTTAATCTACTTAGACCTCAGTTTCACTTTATAAGATGAGACTAGATAATTTCTAAGATCTTTTCCAGCTACAAATCCAATAATCCTCTGATATTTCAATAATTTATTACTTCTGGTTTTTAGACCAGGTATAATTCTGCTCATAGTCAAAGTATATTTTGAAGTACAATGAAGGATATGTGAAGCTTAGTTCGGATGAAGGGAATTAATTTCTTGAAGTTAGGGATAGTGGTAGCAAAGAAGAATATTGGACTGATCATCTACTCCAGATAAAAGGAAGTGATGGATCCATACATGATGGATTTAATGAGTCTGAGGATTCCCTGAGAAGCACTCGGTCTAGAATTCCCTTGAGAAGCTGAATAAGTTCTTGAACTGGCGCTGAGGATGTCCTGGTCTGAATGGAGCCTGAGACCTGGCAACAAGCTTTCAAGGCAACCTTTGGACTACTATGGTCTCAGTCAGATCTTCAGGGTTGTAGCTGGCAGAAGACTAGACCAGGTAGTCTTGAAGCTACACTCGGTATCTCCCACTAGAATCCTCTGGAGACACGGGTGGGTATAAATGGACCTGTGTTTTGAGACTTAGCTGGTAAGGAAGTATTTACCCCGGCCAGCACCCTAGTCTATTTGGCCTGTTGAAGTAGACATCAGGTGAATAGTTATGATTTTAGATCTGCAAAGCACCTTGGAGATCATGTTGTCATCTTTTTCATTGTTAAGTTAAGTTCTTGGGCTTGTTTTCTTTAAACAAGAGTCAGAATTGGAGGAAAGAGCCCAGGAAATGAACCAAGATTGAACAGTTTAGAGAAAACACAAGGAGAATAATAGAAGAGAGCAGGGGAAATAAAGAGAAGTACTAGGAGTGGGGCTTCTAGGTGGCACAATAGATAGGGTGCCAGCTCTGAAGTCAGGAGGATTCCTCTTGCTGAGTTCAAATCCAGCCTCAGACACTGACAATCTGTGTGACCCTAGGCAAGTCATGTAAACCCTGTTTTCCTCAGTTTCCTCATCAGTAAAATGAACTGGAGAAGGAAATGGCAAATCACTTCACTATCTCTGCCACAAAAATCCCAAATGACGTCACAAAGAATTGGATGCAACTGAAATGACTGAACAACAACAGCAACCAGTAGGAGGGGGAGAAAAAGGAAAATGGACAAGGGAAGAAAAGAATCTGATTAGTGATAATTGTGTAGACTTCTTTTTTCACTCTTAGACCTACTGTGTACTTCTTTCCATATTACCAGTGAGCTCCAATGATTTCCACAGTCTTTGGCCAGTGCTTTAAAGGTCAGACAGAGGATAAAATACTTCACTCCCTTCTGAGCACACACAGCTGGGCCAGTAAACAATCTGTTTTTCTTCATTTTCCCACCAACGTTGCTACTGTCTTCTTCCTGCAGAAAAACAGAAAGGATAGGCTCCAAAACGGAGATAGGAAATGGTCCTGGGGCTTGCCAGACAAGCATTTATCCATCTGATTGAGAGAGTTTGAATCAATTTAAGTACTGCAGAGAAGTTTTCCATTCATTCAGTTATTCTTCAAGCCCTTATTAAGTACCTCTTACATGCCAGATGCCATGTCGAGAATATAAACACAAAAAAAATCAATGCTTGCCCTCAAGTAGTTTATGTTCTCTTCGAGGAGAAACAACATGGTCGTGTATAAAAGTAAGTTACAGGCAAAATATTTTTTGTTGTTGGGGTAGTAGTGGGTGTTCAGTTAAAGACATTAAAAGGAACATAAACAACCCAGCTTAAATAGGTAAACCCTAGTAGGACCCTCATTTTTCTTGTGGGAGGCAGAAGCTGAAGAGGCAGCTGCAAAAATCTTGTGATCTCTAAATTTTTTTTTTATTTTTTATTTTTTTTTTTTGCTTGTGCTGTGCAAAGGTTTCCATGCACATTCCCAGACCACAATAGGTAAAGCTTTTACAGATGAAATGAATAAGTAATCATCAAAACAAAGCATAATGACTCACCTGTACTTTTCCTTTATGAAATGAGAAGACTATTTATTCATCTTAAGTCTCTCTCCATTTGTTCCTATTTGGCATGCATGTCCTGAATAATAACTTCAGGATCACATCTTGCTGCTTTATCCAAAGGACAGATGCAGGGTACATGTTTGTTTTATGAATTCTTCTGCCGTGGGCAAAAAAAAATGACACTTTGCTTTAATTTTTTTTAATGATGGATCCTATCAGTGAAAATACTCTAACAGATCTTTATATTTTACCTGATTCTCTCCCCTGCCAGAGCCCATGCTTTTCACTTGTGTGCTCTATTGAGTGAAGGGTAATTGTTGTGTGCAGTTGCCTTGATTTTAAGTAGAACCACCATATGCATCTGAAACAGGAGTCTGGCCCCTGGAGTTTACAGGTTAATTTAATCTGTTCCCTGTAAATTATTTAATAGAAAGCCAGTGTTTCAGAAAACAACATGCACCAGTGCCACTTTCTTGTCACATGGAAGACAGAGTGTCTCCCTTCAGGAGGACAGAATGACAGTTCCACTTGTCTTAGCTTTAAGATAATTAGATCAGTAACTTATTCTCTGCTGAAGACTAAACCTTATCTTATTGGCTAAAATTCAGAATCAATCATGTGTTCCTCGGCCTGCCCTATCTCACAAGAAGGGAGCAGTAAACAATTTGTATGTTTCAATTAGGTTGCCATAAAAAATGAGTAGCTGCAAGGCATTAGTTTATTACTGGTATCCAGCCCTGTTTTCATTTACTAAATGGCATTCTGAAAGCCTCCATTCTGAACATAATCACCTTAGGGCATCCACTGAGTATGGCCCTGAATGATTCAATTATGGCTGAAAGTCATTCTCTTCCCAGAACATGAGATTTAGGACTCTTACAGTCTCCTAGTGTGTGTCTAATGCTCCCATCTTTGTACTCACTAGGATCCTTGCATACAGATGGCTACAGAGAAGCAACTGTAAGGAGATCTTTCTTTCTCTTTCATGCTCTGATGTCTTCCTTCCACCCTATCTGCCTCACCCCTCTCTACCTCTCTCAGTGAAGGTCTCTAAATAAATGAGAATTATAATAATAATAATAATAATAATAGCTAACAGTTATACACTATAGTTGCTTTAGGATTACTGTGCACTCTTCTTTCATTCTCCTATTTGAGCTTCACAACAACTCTGAAGTAATGTATTAATAGCAGGTATCATGATGGAGTGAGCGGAAAAACACCAAATTCGGCATCAGAGGACCAACCAGTAGAAGGGGAAAGGAACAAGCATTTATTAAGTGCCTGTTATGTCCCAGACACAGTGCTAAGCGATTTATAAAAAATTATTTAATCCTCACAACCCTGGGAGGTAGGTGCTATTCTTACCCCTGTTTTACAGATGAGGAAACTGAGGCAGACAAGGTTAAACGACTTGCTCAGGTCACACAGCTACTAAGTGTCTAAGGCTGGATTTGAACTTGGGTGTTCCTAACTTCAGGCCAACTGCAGTACTGTGTTTTGTTTTCCCCTTGCTTTGATGAAGTCGCAAGAGGGAAGTTGCCACTTACAATAAGTGGCAAAGAATAACAGCAGTTTAATGGTGCTGGACTTCACGGTAGCTCCTATACTGGCGTAGGAGGGACTAGGGTCCTGTGGCTTAAAGGGAACTCAGCTTGAAGTTATGGGGGGGACTGGGTAGAGACAGTTGAGACAGGGTTGTTTCTGACATTGATGGGAAAGAAGTATTAGTAGTGGAGGGGCAAATGAAATGAGTTCCTTCACCTTCTGAACCCAGGTGCAGCAGTTGACTGTAAGAGATGGTGGGTAGGTCTGCTTTTCACCATTACTCTTTGTCTATATGGGACCTCTATTTTAATTGGATTTGGTGAAAGCTTGTCACCTCTAAGGACAGGTAGATTTTTCTTTCATTGTATGTAGTTCTTTGTGGTAAAGCATAAATAATGATGAAATGTTGATTAGCTTGAAATAGTATCAGAGATAGTCTTCTAATTTGATCTTTTTAAACTATATTTTGCTTGCTTGTTGATACACAAAAGAGCTTGGCATCCACTTCATTCATTTTAGTCCTGCAAGAACTACTTAACACATAAGGTCAAAGGAACCAATTCAAGTGAAACTATTTAGAAAACTAGAAATATACATATGCATATGTGTATATATATATACATGTGTATTATATAAATACTATATACTTGTGTATATGTATTACATGCATTGGACATAGTTATTTTGATAGCTAATAGTTGATAGTGAAGCCATATTTCCTAAAATACATTTGAGACCAAGTTTTTTTTGTTACCCCATGGCATTTCATTTTGTGTACTTTCCTCCATTTTCATATCTATAGAGGCTTGAGTAGACAGTAATATATTAAGATGTCCAGAACAGAAGTTAACTACTTTTTCTTGTGTCTCTTTCTTGACATTTGAGTTAAGAGGTTCAGTCCTTGCTTCACTGCTAATATTGCAGCTCTTCATTTCCAAGTATGGGCTCAGCTAAACTCAAAACATGATGCCTTCCTTACATACAGTAGGCATTGATTCAACACTTATTGAACTGAAAACTTTTGTCAAAGTCTTGGGGTTTTTTTTAATAACTTTTTTCCCCCTTTCCATATTTGCCTTTGTTGGGAATAGAAATTTCTTCTCCTCTTGGCTCCTGTGGCTACTAGAAGACTATTACTGATTCCAGTTGCTGGAACTCAGATGATTTTCTGAACTTTCAAAGCTCATAAAGTTGTAATCTGGTGTGTTTTGTTCTCTAGAGACTCATTCACCTCAGATCAGGAAATAATAAATACGAGACACACCCCAAGAAAAGAGGTGCCATGCATCATGGCCACATGTCCAATGAGTAGGAAGATGATGAAGCCCTACTGCTGCCTCCTCCCTACCAAGGCCCACAGCATTTCTTCCTCTTCCCTGGAAAATGGTGAGGGGAGAGCAAGTGATAATCATCTTTTTGTATGCATATTTAGTTCTGACTCAGCAGCCAAAAGCTGACTTTTTGTTACCAATCTTTAAGTTGACAGGAAACAATTGGAGGATAATTACTTCTGATGTGAAATAGGAGAAAGGATCCCTCCATTACACATGTCTGTAAACGGGCTCACTAAGCCACATGTTGGGTTGGTACCAGGAAGAATATATTGCTCATGCTTTAAAGACTGGGACCTCATTGACCTATTACATCCCGATGAGAAAGTTCAAGCCAAGAGAAATGAAGGGATTTTCCCAAAGTTATACAGGTCATAAGTATCAGAATTTGAACGCAGATCCTCTAATTCCAGAGCTAGGAGGTCTTTCTACAATTTTGTAATCAGATTGTGAAGGCCTTAAGTGACAAGCTGAGGAGTTTACATTATATCTTAGAGGTACTAGGGAACCACTAAATGCTCTTATTTAGGGAAGACATTGTCAAACTTGTCCCTTCTATCCAGAATTTCTTACATATTTAATCTTTACCTATCATGTTATGCCATCTGTGGAGAATATAATCTAGGCAAGCTCTAACCATTTAGCAAGAGTGTATAAAGTAATTTACATCGCCATACCTGGGAGGAAAATGGGAAAAATTATCTTAAATGTAATAGATAAGAATTAAATATTTGATCAAAATCTTAACACCTTGCATTCCCTGATTAATCTCAAATGTTAAATAAAATAGTTACTGAATATTTAGAAGAGAATTTCAGGATTTTATAAATGGAAAGGACTTTAGAGATAATATAGCCTCCTTGTCCTCTTTTGCCTCCGATTTAAAAACAAAACAAAACCCCAGAAAACTGAATCTTGGGTTAAGTAACTTCTTCAACTAGTTTGTGGCAAATTCAGAACCTTAACTGAGGTGATCGGTCTCCTCCTCCAGTGTTATTTCTCTTAAATAGAGCTGAATAAGGGATACCTTTAGATGCTCCATCAGTTGCTTTTTCTGCAGTCAATTGAACAAGAGGTGCAGTGCCAAAATATTTTTTGTCGTTCTCTTTTTATGGAGCTGTCATAGAGCAGTATTTTGAATGTAGCATAATTTCCCTTCTATTGAAACCAGATAGAATTGTTTCATTGCCTTTCACCATGATGATTTTTTAATTAAACATTAGGACTGTATTTTTTAAAGACAAAATTAAGTATTTCCAAAGCAGAAACGTTATTTTCTGAAGCATCATATGGCAGCTTAAAGAGTTCTTGACATATCTGGTACTCATACCAAAATCGGAAGGAGTCAAAGGTAAAGAAAGTGAAGGTTCATAGACTAGGTTTTGCTGAAATCTTGCTTTTAAAAGTCCCTCCACTTTCTTCGCTTGTACTTCGTGAAAAATTACATGGAGATGACCCTGGACTCCTAGAAAGCTGTGCTAATGGAGAACAAACATTAAAAGAGCAAGTTCTGGCAAATCCTTCTTCCCAAGCTTGAGAAGATTGTGCATCCAGGACCAGCCTAATGATGACTTGGAAAAGGTCATTTCTAGAAGGTTGGTACTAGGTGATGCAATCCCTTGGGACAAGAAAAGGCTACAGTCTTCATAAGCCATGGGAATACTTGTACTAATCAAATCGTAAATCTCCAGAAATATTTTAAGAAGATTTTATCTCTCTTTTTTTTTTAGAGGGTACTCTAAAGGCTCTTTGCTTTAGAGGTAAAGGGTACTTTGTTCAATGGTTTAATGTTCTACTTAAAAAGATCTAACCCTTTGACACTATTTTGGTTCCTTTCAAAGACATGGATCTAGCCTCCTAAAAGTTCAGGACAATAGATTATTAAGTGTTCTTTTAACTTCGGCAAGATTTTCAGCCCCTCAATTTCCAGGTCCTTACTTCATTTGATAAAGAGATTTGAAGAAATCTGTATGCTGAATCAGATAAGTCAGAATAATGGGGTATTGGCTGCCTGATGTGTTGGGGTCCACTTAGCAAAAGTCAATGATGGAGCAGCTAGGTGGAGCAGTAGATAGGGCTCCAGCCTTGGAGTCAGGAGGACCTGGGTTCAAACTGACCTTAGACACTAGAAACTTACTAGCTGTGTGACCCAGGGCAAATCACTTAACCCTGATTGCCTCACCAAAAAAAAAAAGGCAATGAAAGTGGTGGGCCACCAATATTCAGTAAAACCTTGAATAATAGAACTTGGTGTACTTTTCTGATTTTAAATTAAGTTTGGTTTAGCCCTTATGAAAAATATTTCTCAAACATATTGGTATGCTTTTTGCTTTGTAAAGTAGAATTTTTTTCTTTATTTATTTGTTTATGGCCAAATGATGATTGAACACTAGAATTCCTCACTTCTTTGACTTTCAGCTATCATCCATTTTGGCAGTGCTCAATCTTGGTCCTTTCCCATTTCTTTCTTTCTTTTGTTGTTGTTGTTGTTGTGGCAATTAGGGTTAAGTGACTTGCCTAGAGTCACACAGCTAGTGAGTGTAGTGAGTGTTATGTGTCTGAGGTCGGATTTGAACTCAAGTCCTCCTGACTCCAGGGCCGGTGCTCTATCCACTGCACCACCTAGCTGCCCCCCCTTCCCCATTCCTTAATTCACTGGTGTTAATAAAGAAAAACACAAAATCCTGCTGATTTGGTCCACTATAAATTGTCATTTAATCTCGCCTTTTTGCTTAGTAATCCATATATTCATTTATCTTCAAACCTTTTCCGTTCTCTTCATATGTAACTGCTTCTTCCCTTCCCTTCTCTCTCTTCTGGTTCCTAATGCCAGACAACATCCACCCTCTCCCTTTCAGGATATAATTTTCCCTCCTGCTTCACTGAGATCTTATCTATCAGTCACCCTTGACATCTTCCAACTCTTCTTTCTTTTCATTTCACCTCTCCTTTCTCAACCTCAGAAAAAGTTGCTCTCCTTCTATGCAGAACTGACTGCATTTATGCTTAGGATTCCATCCCTTCCCAAACCTTAGCTCTGTTTCATCCATTTTTCACAACTTCAATACTTTCCTCTCTACAGGTTCCCTGCTGCCCATCTACAAACTTGCTTTGTTTTCCCTAGCCTAATAAAAACCTTTCCCTTGCCCCACCATCCTTTCCTGTTGCTTCATCTCTGAACTTTTTTTCAATGCCACATGTTTATAAAAAGTAAAGCTTGCTGCTTCCATTTTCTCAACCTCTTATTATCTATCTTCTGTCAGTGTTTCTGGAGAAATTGCTGGCTCACAGGATGACAAAGGTCATCTATTCCAACCCCCCCCCCATTTTGCAGGTGAGAAATTTCAGCCCAGCGAGGTTTATTAACTTGTACAAGACAAGATTTGAACCCATATCCTCAGATTCCAAATCTGGAACTTCTTTGCAGTGCACCATGATCCCTTTAGGTACCAAATCTTTTTCTCAATCCTTGTCCTCCTTGATGTCTCCATAGCTTTTAATAGGACTTATTTGATTGATAGTCTCTCCTCTCTTTGCTTCTGTGACACTGCACCATCTTGCTTCTCATTCCTGACAAAACATTCCTTCTAAGTTTGAAGGATCCTTATCTTCCTGTATTCTAAAAGTAGAAGTTTCCCCCAAGGCTTTGTCCTCAACCTTATCCAGTCTTTTCCCTGGAGGAATGGGGGGGGGGGGGGGGGGAACAGGTAAGATGGCAAAAATAAAAATAAAAAGTGTATGTTTTATTACCATTAATTCCTCTTTGCATAGCATTTAGTCATTTTAAGCAGATTTTTTCTGAAGGAAAATTTAAGTGCCCTGGATGGAGTCCTATTGACCAACTCAGTCCAAACATTGCCTTCTAAAAGAAGGGATGAAGTCAAAATGATTCTTTCCAAGCTTGATAGCATAACAATTGCTTCAGGATAATAATGCAGTTTTGCATTTCAAAAAGTAGGAAGCATCTTGAGCCTTTCAGTAGACTAAGGAATAACGTTAGGAGCACAAAATTATTTACAGTAAAATTTTCATCATTTTCAGATGCTAGAATCGGCTTTCTGACATGAAAACATGCTTATTGTAGAAGCTTATCTTAGATGCCCTAGTTACAGTCAATTCTATGGTTTCTGCCTGAACTGTGAAATTGCAGCTGTTGTTAATTCTGAAACTAAACATTTGCTGCAAGCTGACTCAGGTTTGCTTTGTAGCATAAATATAATGCTGATCTTAAAAAAAATCAGAGCTTGGCAATTTTTAGGTTATCTTTTCTGTTTTTGTTTGCCAGGAAGAAAATAAGCATCCTTAAAATATCAGAAGTCAGGAAATTGAGATAATCCCATTCATATTTATCTTTAGTGGATTCTTTTACTGAAGACTTGAACAGGAATGAATCTAAAAAAAATACATAAAGGTGCCACAAAAGGAGAACAGAAGATGGTGGTGGTGTGGAAGCTGGCATTTAGGTCTCCATTCAAATGTTACAAATCATTTAAAAAGTACCTTTCTTCTTTTGAGCACTTTGCAGACATTACTAATTAAACCTGGCAATCCCCATGAGGTACATAATTGTTATTATCCTCACTTTACAGATGGGGAAACCGATACACCAAATTAAATGACTTGCCTTAGGCCACAGAGAGCATTAAGTATTAGAGCCAGAATGTCAGACTTCTACCAGGAGAATAAAATCACAGCTTATTTGTTCTCATTGAAAATGATTCATGTCACCTCAGGGCTCTTCCAGTTGGGACACAACAGTGGATTCTTGCATCACTATATATGGTAGGTGTATAGCAAGTGTTGATATGTTACCAAGATAAACTATGGAAGTCCATAAAGAAGATTTGGGTTTGAAGCATTTGAAAGACGAGGGAAGAAAGGAAGAAGAGGATGGAATTGCCCATTGAAAGGCGGTTGATTGATGCCCACCATTAGAAGTCTTAAGGTTATGTTCCTATCCTGTTCTATTTATCCATTGGAGAATATATTTGCTATTCAGTCCTGACAAGGCAGGAAGAAGAACCCTCTCATCTCAAAAGGACAGAGATCGAATACCTGAGATGCCAAAGGAACAGAGACCAGCCCTTAAGGACAGAGAGAAGTTTTAGTAAATGACAACTTATCTCTCAAGAGAGGCAGTCACCTACGAGTGAGATGCCAAATCTTATAGGGGCTGAAAAACCACCAGCATGCTAGTCAATTCATTTTAATTCAAAAAATAAAAATTAAGTATCACTTGTAATAGGGTACTTGGAAAAGCCCTTGGGGAGATACAATTTCAAGATAATACAAGCTTACTGCCCTCATAGGGTCCAGTAAGAGATAGGATATGTATGGATAACTGAAATGTTTTATGATAAAAGTCTTAGGTACAAAACAAAGTTTTAAACTTTGAAGAGTAAGGTCCTTAACAAGAAGAAAATCTGGGAAAGCTTCATTAACGGATATAGGGAATCATATGGCCAAAGGCATGGTGGCAGGAAGGCATAGAATATAGTCAGCAGACAGAGTAATCTAATTTTTCTGGAATATTGAGTACTGTATCTAGAGAGGACTAAAACTAGATAAGCTTGAAGAGTTGGGATGACACCAAATTGTGTCAAGATGAAGGCCAAGAAAAGGCTTTGGAGCTTGATGGACAGGGATCCTCTGAAAAGTTTTAAGCCACAGTGATGTGGCTAGGTCAGTGCATAAGCAGCATGCAGATTGGGTTGAAAGAGGAAAACGGCGGAAAACCTGTTAGGAAGCTATTGTATCAATTCATCCAGGCCTATGCCCAGGTGATGACAGTAGGAACAAAAGCAATAAAGAGGAGAACCTGCTAGATGTGCATCATCTTGCTAAAGACAAGGACTTCTTAACTGATGGAATGTGAGAGGTGAAGAAAAGAGAAGAATTAAAAGTGACAGCAAGTATGAGAACATTTGGCAGAAACGATGAAGTCAAAAGAAGGAACACCCTTTGGGTAAAGCTCATATGCTTGGTTTGGGCCATAATGAATTCTAGGTGCTGGTGGGACACGCACGTGGCCCATGATGAGGAGACTCCGGCTCTTTTTATTAAATTGCCTTGCCTGTGCTTGGGGAGAGCCTCTCACTTGGTCTGTAGCTGAGACCTTACAGTGTGATAGAAATTGCCAGATCTTGTGCTCCACTGAGCTAAGCTTATGTTGGCACACAGTCTCCTCTCATTAGATTGAGTGTCTTGAGAGCTTGTTTACTGTTTCATAGTATGAAGGTAAGGGGAAGAGATGTGGGGTAGTTATCTGTTTTCTGATTATTTTGATCACTGTAGCCAGACCCAACATACAATTTTGACTTTAAAGTGGATAAGGAAGTCCTAATTAGTCATACTCTGCTCTGGTCAGACCGCATCTAGAATATTGTGTTGAGTTCTAGGCACAGCATTTTAAAAGAATGGTGATAAGATGGATTATCCAGAGGATACCTAGAATGGTAAGACTTTTGATTCTGTGCCATATGAGGACCACTTCAAGGAAATGGAGATGTTTAGCCTGGAAAAAAGAGAAGGTTCATGGGGGGAATGTGATTGCTGTCTTCTAGTACTTGAAAGGCTGTTGGGAAGGAATTTGACTTGTTCTATTTGTAGTTATGCCCTCTGGGATCAAAGAGACAAATTTAGGATTGATATCATTTTTTAAAAATCCTAATAATGAGAACTGTCAGAAAGTTGAATGAATTGCCTCATGAAATAGTAAGTTCCCTCTCCTTGGAAGACTTCAAGCAGAAGTTAGGTGACCACTTGTTAATTGTGGTGGGGGAGTCTTTTTTAGATATGGGTAGGACTAAATTACCTCTAAGGAGGTTGGTGTAAAGCTCAGAAGGCACTTAAACACATTCAACCCAACAATTTTCATTCTACATTTCATATGCACCTGAACACAAGCATGCTGACCTGTCTCATGGAGAGTATATCCAGAGTGATTTGCTGGACCTGGAAGGAAAGAGTGAGGGAGATAGGTTATCTATTGATTGCTAATCCTTATAAATAATTTCCTGGGGGGTAGTACTACTTAATGTGCTTGTCTGTGATATAAATGATGGAATTGAGCTCACCAATCTGCTATCAGGTCTAAAGGAAGTTAACATCCTAGAAGACAGAGATTAGAATTCTGTGACCTCCGTGAGTTAGAAGTGTTCTATCAAGCTTGGGATTGAGTACACAATAATGCACTTACATAGCAAAACAACAACAACAATGAATTACACAGATACAAGATGAGGAAATAACAGTGAGATAAAATCTGTCATGTAAAAAGTTCATCAATATAATGTGATGTCACTTGTACCAATATGATTATGACAGTCCATATTGACTGATAAATCCTTCCTAGATCACTAAGGAAAAATTAAGGGTACCAGAGTGTTTCCACACCTGGAAAAGGTAGGATGAAATACCATTCCAATCCAACAAGCATTTTTTTGTTTGTGTCGGCTGTGTTCAAGGTACTATGCTTCTGTCAGGGATACAAAGGCAATGCAAAAGAATGCATACCTTCAAGGAACTTGCATTTTACTAGGGAAATATAACTTGGGAATTGGGTTCCTTGACTGTCTCTGTGTATATGAGGGGTTATTGTAAGTATGATGCTATTTATTGAGGTTAAACAAGAAAAAGTGAATTTAAATTAAATAAGATGAATTTTATCAATCAACAAGCATTTATTAAGGGCCAACTATGTGACAAACACTGCTTGCTACCTCCCAGGAATATAAATACAAATGTGAGGTCACTCCTGCCCTCAAGGAACTTACATTCTGCATAGATTCTTAACTTTTGCATCATATACCCCTTTAGTAGTCTGGTGACTTTCAATCTTATTAAATAAATAAAATAATGTACTAAAATATGAACTACATAAAATACAAAATATAAAGAAAACCAAAGGTCAGTGGGAGGTGGGGAGGTGTAATTTTTATCCCATCAAATTTCACAATCTTTGAAATCTATCCAGAGTCCATAGACCCTAAGTTAGGAAACCCAATCCTAGGGGGATACAGTATGTTCATAGATAAGTAAATATTGGATATATTCACAATAAATATACAGTGATATAAGAGTACTAAGTAACTAGAAGAATCGAGACTTTTTGACTAAAAGAATATTTTATGCTAATATAGACTTCCAAAGGAGGTTATAAAATCCTCATCTCTTACTGATAGTGAAAAATTTAATCCACAATCATTCCTTGGTTTTAAGTGTCTGTGCCAAAGGATAAGATCAAATGGTTTTGAAGGTATCTTCCTGCTTAATGTTTGAGGTAGCTAGGTGGTGCATTGGGATAGGATAGAACATTGCAACTGAAGCCCAAAAATGCTAGTTATTATTATGAAGAACACATTTTCCTTCTACTAAAGGTGCTATACTTTTCTTCCTTCCTTCCTTCCTTCCTTCCTTCTTTCTTTCCTTCCTTTCTGGGGATTTAGAAGTAATCAGTCCAATCCACCGTTTTTATGAATGAGGAAATGTGAGACCTATAGTGGTTAAGAGAATTTTTGCAAGGTCATCTAGCTAATAACTGATAGAATTGAGATTTGGGCTCGGGTCCTATGACTCTAAATTCAGGCCTCTTCCCATTGCATTCTGTTCTCTGTATTCCATCTGCATCGTGATTGCTTTATTTAGAAAATAGGAACACAGCAATGCACTTGACCAGCACTGAAGACAGGCTTCATTGTAGTTGAACACGATGTGCATACAAGACTTATCTGGGGAACCAAGATTCGATGTATTGTCATTTGCCATTGCCTTAAGTAAAACTAGTAAGATGTTTTCACCATGTGGACTGACCATCTGCTCACAATAACTGAAAATTCACTTCCAGTATTAATACACTCTATCTCTGTTCTTGCATGTCTCTGAAATGCCTCAAGCAACTGCTCTTCTCTCATGTGAAGCAGCCACAACAGCTGTGGGATTCATGAGGGCTTGCCTCTGCCCCCATTTCTGTCAGTTGACAAAAACAGCAAACAACATTCCCCAAAAGCCTGAATATCATAAACTCATTAAGTATTAGTTCCTAATAGACCAAAAAAAAAAAGTTCTTTTGACTGTGAGCTCTCTCACACTGAACTCTGACACCTGCAGTCATCCTCAGGGCCAGTGTGATCTATAAGGAAGCTACAAGCTTCTGAGAGAACCTTTTCACAGGTTTTTTCAAACAAAAGAGTCCTTTCTTCAAACTCTGCATCTTTCTGATTGCTAATTAACCAAACCTAGCAAGTGAGAAATCAGTCCTCTCTGTAGGAAGAATGAAAGTCACAAAGGCAGCGAGGATTAAAGGGGGTAATCATCCTCTTGATTTCTTTTGTTTATTTTTTTTTAACCAGTAAAATCACTTCTTAAGGATTGATGTGATGGGGGAGAAAAAAAGTATTTGCAATAAGTCAGTTTTCTTTCTGTAGTGTGGTTGTGCTTTCTGCTGTAGATTTTATAAAGTACCTTATGGGTCAGAGGATCTTGGTACCAGGCCCATTTCCAACACTTACTATTTATGCGACCTTAGGCAATTTGTTTAACCATCCTGGGACTCACTTTGCTCACCTGTAGAAGGAAGGGGTTGAACTAGATGACCCTGCAATCCTTTCAAACTCTAACTTTATGATTCTTTGGACTTTTCATTATTTGGCTTCCTTCAGTTCAACATGTTTTATAGGATATATCATATTAAATAGGTTCTGTCTTTTGCTCTATTGAGTCAGAGTTTTCACTTCCCTTCAGGGTATTTCTAGTTCCCATGGGTGTGTCCTTCTAACACTATGTCCTAGAGGTATTCTTCTTACACATCAACGGCTTCATTCTCCTCCTACTTGTACAAAATCCCTATTTCCATGTTCCTTGCATGGAGTCTTCCTTAGACTATCACTTTGGGCTCTCCAAAAATAGAAGGCATCTAGGTAACGTAGTGCATGGAGTGTAAGACTTTAAGTCAAGAAGGCCTGAGTTTGAATCCTGTCTCAGACATACCTTTCCTGTGTGAACATGGGCAAATTACCTAACTTCTTTGTGTCTTAGTTTCCCCATCTGTACTATGGGGATAATAATAGTATCTCCCACACTAGGTTGTTGTGAGGATCAAATGAGTTAAAATATGTTAAGTGCTTTGCAAATTTCAAAGTGCTTTATAAATGCTAGCTGTTATTTATTTTACCCATTCAGTAACTTCCCCTTTCTGCCCTCTGTTTGTCTTCTTTGCCTGGTGTGTATCCAAGAATTCTTCCTAAAGCAAATGAGCCATTCCCCAGTGATACTGTGTTCAGCTGGTGCTGCTCTTGCCTACTATTTCACCTAATAAAAACCTTCTAGGGTATGAAGCCAATGGAACCCTCCCTTTCTCTCAGCAAAGAAGATGGTCCCTGAGTTAAACACCAGACAGTTTACTTATAAAATATGGATGAGAAGTTTTAGTTGCTTCCCAGAAGCTGCTTACATTTTGTTCATTTTCATTCCAAGCCTTCAGATCACAGGAAGGTTCACGGGGGAAGTGCTGCCCAACAAATGAGACTTTCAACAGGAAGACCTTTGATAAAATTAACTATTTGGCTGTCCTGGTCCCTTTTGGTTACGAAACTCTTAGCAATGGAAAAAAATGTAAGCTCTTCACAGGCCTCTAGTGACATCAGGTGGAATTGCAAGAACCTTTTGTTGAACCAGACAAACCTGTGCAGGAAGTGTAATGAAGGCAGGCAACAAGAGCTCCAGAAAGCATAGTGTTGATAGTTTGATGACAGAGGGTGTGTTTGAAAGTTTAGGAAGCAGGTCGGGGCCTGGGGAAATGGATTTGAGATGTCAGTTCTTTGCATAATCTTAACCATAAGGTATTTCTTACTGTTTGTAACCGTTGTCATTGGAACTATTGCATTATTTTGGGGTTCTTCGGGTAATTCTTCATGTTATTAGGTATTTTCAAATAATTTAAATACCCTTCACTCAAATGGTCATTGATTAAGATTTTACTCCCGATTTTCCCAGATCTGTGACTTCTATTTATCATTAAGGATATTTGGGATTTTCATATGTCTGTCATTTCAATGAGAAATAGTTGATTTAGGATTGATGGAAATAATGGATGTCTCCTGGCAAGAAATGGGTGAGACAATAGCATGGTGTTGTCCACTGTCCGTAGTTTTCTGACCTGGAGATCAAAATCCATAATTTCTGTTATGGCTCCTTCGGTGATTTTCTGTACCTTGCAGTATAGACACTGCTCTAAATAAAAATGAGAAGTACCCAACAATGGTACAAATGTATAAGACGCTAGCCAACCAATATGTGCCACAGCTGGACTTGTGCTGTTTATTAGCACACCACCTTCTCCAGGAACTAACAAGCTAAGTACTGACCAGTGTCAACGAAGGCCCTGAAGCAGATGCTCTGATATGGCTATACTTTCTAGCTGTCTGCAGAGAGGTAACTATGTGGTTGCATAATTAGAACATTGATGTAGAATGTTATACCATTAGGAATTCAGTCTCTATGATATCTGGACTTTATTCTTCATTTGCTTCTTTATACAAAGGGAGATACCTTGACTTATTCAGAGTCAAATGTTCCTGGTAGAACAGAGCCTTAAAGAGTGAGAAGAAATGGGGTACTCATTAAAAACTTATCTATCATTGACAGAAAGGAGAGACTGGCTTGAGCTGGTCATATTGAGAGAGATGGTGGTCATTGATAAGCGTTGAGCCTAGACTAAGCTAATTGAGTTCTTATCTGAAAATAAAGATTTGAAGCTTCTTGCCTCTATTATCAAGAAAGTCATCTGGAAAAGAAGATAATATTCTATCAGGGTAGTTTTATTTTAAGCCCTTTCACTAATGGCAGGATGAAAGGCTTTACACCCTCTTGAATAGAAGAGGTATTTTTACTTGAGTAAGCATACCACATAGGTGAACTCTTTACTAAGGCAGGCTTTGAATTAAGACTTTTTGGCAGTATATTTAAGGGAGATATATGTTGGTCTCTTAAAGTGCTGACAATTTTAAAAGTATTTGGAGATGTTGGTTTATGGAGTCACAGCCTGACCCCCTGCCCACATTTTCAGACTTATTTCGTTACTCTCCTTAGTACATTCTATGTACTTCACTCACTTCACAATAAATAACATCCCATCTTCTACCCCCATGTCTCTGCCCAAACTATCATAGGATCATAGGATCAGAGAGCTGGAAGGGACTTTAAATGTCCTCTAGCCCAAATGACTTATTCTACGGGTGAGGAAACTGAGTCACAGAAATTAAGTTATTCTACCAAGGTCACACATGTAGGAAGAGGTAGAGGCGAGATTCAAACCCAGGTCCTCCAACTTCAAACCCAGTGTTCTTTCCGCTGCCTTATACTCCATGCCCAAAATATTCTTCTTCCTCACCTCCACCTCTTAGAATCCATAGCTTTCTTTGAGTCTCAGCTCTAATGCCATCTCCTAATGTTTCTTGATCTCAACTTTCCCCAACTTCCAGCCACTTGTTAGTATTCTCCCCATCCATTCCTATCTGGTATTTATCTCTGTTTGTTATATCCTCCCAGTAAAATATATGCCTCCTAAAGGAGTGTTAACTTTGAGCTTTTGTGTACTTAGCATCTAGTATAGTACATTTAGCACCAAATATATGCTAAATAAATTATTGATGACAGCACCTGGGATCATATTTTCAGTTATTTGCAGAGGAAGGAGCAGAATAATTTATAGAAACTTGCCCCCAGAGCAGTATGGATACAAAGTTGATATTATGGGACTTGAAAAGAATTTTTTTATGGATGGTAGTCTATTAATGGTTGCCAAAAAAAAAAAAAAAATCATGAGACTTGGCCACAGTAAGAAGGGAAGTCCCAAGCTTAAGGTTAAATACAACTGGTCAGTGATATTGAAGAATTTTATTTTAAAATAAATTTTTATTGCTATGTTTTGTTTTTTACATAACTTACCTGTATGCCTCCCCCTTCCCTCGAAAGAGCCATCTCTTATATTTCCTTTATTAATCTGTCCATCCCACCAGTCCCCCCAGTTGAAAAAAAAATCCAAAAAATAAAGCCCTCAATACATAGGTGATGGGATGGACAGCTTAATAAAGAAATGTAAGAAATATATCTGATCACTAGCCAAAGTTTGCCCTTTAAGGGCTGTTGTTGTTCTTCTGTTGTTTCAATTGTGCCCCACCCTTTGTGACCCCATTTGGGGTTTTCTTGGCAAAGATACTGGAGTGGTTTGCCATTTCCTTCTCTAGCTCATTTTTAAGATAAGGAAACTGAGGCATACAGGGTTAAGTGATTTGCCCAGGGTCACACAGCTAGAAAGTGTCTTGAGGCTGAATTTGAACTTGGGTCTTCTTGACTTCAGGCCTGGTACTCTATTCACTATACTACCTAGCAACCCCTTTTATATACTTTTAATAAATCTTTTGTGTATCTAGTCATCTACATGTTGTCTCCCTCATTCCAATGTAAGTTTCTTGAAGGTAAGGACTGGTTTTGCCTTTCTTTGTATTCTCACTATTTGGTAGGATGCCTGTCATATAGTAAGCATCTAATAAATGAAAGTTGGCTGACTTTTCACTCTAAACATGTACTTTGATACTCGGGTGATTTCAGTGGAAAGGTTCATACAGAGAAGAAAGTGAAAATTTTATTGGAAAACATGTCTATGTGTTGCGAATGTTTTCTTTAGGCCAGGTGTGTGCCTTAGGAATATCAGCAGTCTGCCAACTATGTGTTGGATGGAGGAGGGAAGGGAAAGATTAGAAGAAAGAAGATCAATGGTGAAGCTATTGTAACATTTCCAGTGAGAGGTGATGAAGCCCGAACTAGAATGGTGGTCATGTAAGTTGAAAGGCACAGATGTCAGAAATGTCAGAGGTAGAATCCATAAAATTCGGCAAATGTTTGGAAATAGGGCAGGGTGAAGAAGAGTGAGGAGCTGAGGAGGACTTCAGTTTTGTGAACCAGAAGGGCTGGAAGGAGGAAAGTCTCTTAACTTCTCTAGTCGGGCTAATAGCTAATGGCAGAATAGTGACTATTAATAATAATTATGATAATATATTCATTAGTATAATATTTATAATACAGTTATATAGTGCTTTAAGGCTTGCAAAGCACTTTAAAGATCATCTCATTTTATCCTTACAACAATCTTGGGAGGTGGATGCTATTGTCCTCATTTTACAGAAAGGGAAATTGAGGCAGACAGGTTAAATAGTATATCCAGAACTGGGTTGTCCTCCATTCTATGTGATGTACCACTGAAGTACATTTGACTAGAACCCAGGAGTCCTGATTTCTAGCCCAATAGTTTTTTTTTTTACACTGTACTATGCTGATTCCCCTTTATCCATGTCTATTTGTCTTTCTCCCTGTAACCACACGTGGAGAAACTTGATAAAATAGTCATAAGCAATTATCAATACATTGTTATGCAGAATTGGTAGTCTGAATATAATGTTCACAAATTGCCACCACTGGTTCAGCCTTATATTTACTTGAAATAGTTTTATTCCCATTTTTATAAGTGAGGAAAATGAACTTCAAAGAAGTGAAATGATTTGTTTAAGGTCACTCAGCTAGTAAAAGTCAGTCAGGATGAGAACCTGGATCTCCTAACACCAAATATAGTATTCTTTCTGTTGTACCAAGATAACATAAGACTGATTAAATGTGCACCACCAAAGTTTTCTTAGCTGAACACTTTGCTTTCACTGAATTAATCTATGCTAAATTGATAGAATTAAGATTCTGCAGCAACCTCTGAGCACAAGATCGTTTTATATCATCTTTATTGCTGTAAAAATGATGGTATTTACCAATTCAAATTAGCAGGGCTCTAAAGACCTATATTCTATAAGAAATTAATCAGACTGTAAAACCATCAGCCTGGGAACACATATAAGAATTATTGTAGATGACAGAAGCATCACTGAGGACTGGGCTTCCTTAGATTATCATTGGTTCCTTGTAACAATCAGGTGCATCAGCTCAGGGACACATATGGAATATAAGCATTTGCTGATCACTTAGGGGCAAATATATGATCGTTTTGCTGACTGCTGAAAATTTGGATTCAACATTTAAGTAAGAGTTTAACTGCTTGTTATGTGAAAAGCAGTCTGCTAAGCCCTGAGCACTGTACAAAGAGGGATCCTTGCCCTCAAGGAGTTTGCTGTCTAGTTGGGAACAGGGAGTTAATGGATAAGCCAGTTTGTCTGTAGTAAGAGGCATGAAGTATGGATGGAAAGAGAGGGTATCACAAAATTGGGGAAGACTTTGACTGCTTAACTGAGAAGTTTAATGAAGCTAAGGAGTTTGAATTTCTCTTCATAGTTAATTTGGAGCCACTGCAGTATTGGGGGAGAGGTTCCTATAATTTACCTGAAAGACTTGTTGTTTGTGTTATACTTAGTGTACAGGTACATTTAGCTACTTCTACATTTCTTTCTTTTTTTCCCCATGGGTAAAGAGGAAGAATTAAACCAAAGGAAAATAGAATTATATAAAT